CCGGCGACTATTTACATGAATGTGTAAGACCTCGAGATAGAGGCATCGGATAACTGTGGCCACAGGGCGCGGTAAGCGCGGATAAAAGTAAAAGAAATTGTGAATCTGTGTAATGTAATGCGCGTTGAGATGAGAATATGCTTTATATAACCTTGTGATATGTAATGCCATGATGTTTTCGTTAATCGTGATAAGATGTGTTTTGTGAAGAATGTATATGTTATGTATAAGTGGTAGGGTAGAGACTCACCCTTACACAACATTTTTCAGGAAACCAGGACGAATAGTACCAGGCTCACAGTGCATGGATGGATGAGAACTGCTATAGGACTTAGTTATTTTGAGTTATGTAATGAATATTTTCAGTTCTATAGCGTTCTTTTGAAAATGTTGTAAAACTACTATTCCTCTTTATTGCTGATGAAAACTTTAGAATCTTTGTTTTCCTAAAGTACTTATGAATTAATGAAATTTTACTCTATGAACCTTATATCATTTCAGTGTCTTTTCCTTATTAGAAAGTTTTGAAGGAAAATTTACTTTACCATATTAATTTTTATGAAAATTTATCATGTATTGAGGAAAGAAATATAAGGTGTTACAACGAACATCTCTAAAACACATTAAGACAACAACATCTATACCTATGTCTATTAATGGTTTGATAGCAACTTGAACACATCCTATATGGAGGTATTTGTATTTTCTTTTATGGTCATTAATCGAGTGTTTCGACAAGAGATGAAATTCTTCTCCTATGTCTTGTCCTTGGGGAATATTGTTTTCAACAGTTACGTCTAGCGTTTATACTAGAGAAGACAACCAACAACCATTTTGGAAAGAAAAATTCTTAGTTGGTCTTCCCAAATCTTTCGGAGATGTAGTTAGAAGGAAGCTCCAAAACCATTCTACCAATGGAGAAATACCTTATGATAGTCTTAGTTATGGCCAGCTTCATGCTATCATTACTCAATTAGCTCTGAAAACTTGTCAAGAAGAGAAACTTCAGAGACAATTAGCCGAGGAAAGGGCCATAAAAAAAAAGATTTAGGATCCTTTTGTGAACAATTTGGCCTACCTTCTTGCTCAACCAGAAAGAAAAAACAGGTTCCTAAGAGGGATGTCATAGAGCCCAATAGAAACCTTACAAAAAGAAATATAATAGAAAATCTTCTAAGAAAACTGGGGAAGATGCTATCCCCAAAAATATTCCCAAAAAACCCAGAACAAGTGTAACTTGTTACAATTGTGGTAAACCTGGTCCATCAGTAAATACTCTAGAGTCAAAAAGAAATTCAGTAACCTTAACCTTGATCCTTCCATAGAAGATCAAATCAATAACCTTCTCATCAAATCCTCTGAGGATGATTCTGTTAAAGAATCAAGTGAGGATATCAATCAAATTCAGTAAAATGATCAAATATCTTCCTCTGATAGTGATGAAACTCCAGAAATTAATGTTTTAACAAAAGAACAAGATCTTCTTTTTGAAGCCATTAATTCTATTCTTGATAATCAAGAAAGAAAAGACTTTCTTAGTAAATTTAAAGATGTTTTAGAAACAAGGCAAAAACCAAAAGAACATTTTACCATAAACAAGTTTGATATAACCAGTATTTTAAAATGATTAGTGATTAGTCTGCATTTTATTAGTTTTTTACTTGTCATTTTAATGTTTCTTAATAGAAAAAGTAAACATAGGAATTGTAAATAACATAAAAACATAATTTTGGTCAAATATCATAGGTTTCTTAATTTTTGGTTAATTTACATTGATTTACATAGATATAGTTTGCAATTTTGATCATTTGAATAATTGTGCAGGAGTTTCTAGACTTTTTCCATGGATTTTTAGCATTTGAGAAAGTTTGAGGTGAAAGTGATCACTTTGGAGTCCATAGTGAACACTATAGCAAGCTAGTTCTAGAAAGGTAGACCAGAGTAATCACTATGAACCCATAGTGACAACTCCAGAGAGGCCAAAAAGTACAAGGCTTGCGTGTAGCTACTATGGAACCATAGTAGACACTCTAGAGCAGCCAAAGTTATCACTCTGATGCCAAAGTGACAACTCCAGAGAGGTAAAAAACACAGGACTTACGCGTAAACACTACGGAGCGAGAGTAATCACTTTGGGGCATTGCGTGTTATCACTATGAAGCCAAAGTGACAACTCCAGAGAGGCCTAAATCACAGATCTTGTGCGTAACCACTATGGAGTGAGCGTAAATACTATGGAACGCTGCACATTATCACTATGAAACCATAGTTGTCACTTTGGGCAAAAATTTATGCACTATAAATAGGATTTGAGAAATTAGGGTACAGAGCTTTTTACATTTCCTTAGATTCTTTTGCCACTTTTGGAGCATTTTGCAGAGCTTACGATCCTTGGGTGACAGCCAAGGCTAATCTTAGGGTTTGATTTACAATTTCTCTTTATTTTCTTTTAATTCTTGCATTATGATGTTGATTTCCCTTTGTTTCCATCTTGAATTTGTAAGACTCATCCCTATGGAGGGCTAAACTTTCTTGTAATCCTTAGTGAGTTCATGGATTCTTGAATCCCTGGGTATGAATGTCAATATAATTCCCTTTTCTTCATGAATTTACATTTCCCAACTCTTTGAATTGAATTAATAGTTGAATGAGGTGGACATTGCTTAATTAACCCTAATTCGTTTTAATGAAATTCTTAACTTAGTTTGCTTAATCCTAAGTTAATTTCTAAGGTAGCGTTATCTTGGGGATGAGAGATTAGAGCCTATGTAAATTGCTTAATTTGTATGAGATATTAAGGTTAATTCTTGCTTTTTGAGTTACCCTAATTTAGAAGAAGAGGAAAAGTATTGAATCTTGAGAGGGATGAGGATAGAATTGCATGAACAAACTAAGGATTGCATATTTCATTAATTGGATTCATTAATTTCATCACTTGTCTTTACATTAAAATTGAAATTACACAAAACCCCCTTGTTTTAATTGTTTTTATAGTAAATATTCACAACATGTTCAATGTATGTTACAAACCAAAGTCGTTGGAGACAACATAGGTTTGCACCCTAGATACTACAAACTTTTTGCAAAACGAAATGAAAATTTATCGTTCATCAAATTGGCGCCGTTGCCGGGGACTTTGGTGTTAATTTTGCATTGAACCTGTTAGTTGCTCTGTTTTAGTGTTCTATTTTCAATTTTTCTGCATATTTTGTTCTGTTTTTGCTGCAAAATTCTGCAGAATTTGTGCTTGTGTGTTGCTTTTTTTTGTGTCATAGTTTGCAACTTCGTTCTGTTTTTGCTGTTTGGTGTTAATGCTTTAATTTACTGCACTTAGTTATTAAGTTTTCTGCATAATTGCCATATGAATTTTTCTACTATTTTTGCTGTTTCATTTAGTTTACTTCTTTCCATTGTTTATAGTTAATTTCTAGTGCATGACCAGATCGAATCCTGGAGACTTGTATCCACTTGATCCAGAGATTGATAGGACATTTCATAGTAGCATTAGAACACATAGGAATAGTTTTGAACATTTTGAGGAGTCTTCATCTCCTTCATCTATCTATTCATCACCTCATTCATTAGAATTTGAAACTGAAAAAATGGCTGACAATGAAAGAACATTAAAGGAACTGGCTGCAGCGAATGTAACATATCAAACTTTATGCATACAGTATCCTGACATTGATGCTCCCTTTGTACTAAAGACTGGACTAATACACTTGTTGCCAAGATTTCATGGCCTTGCAGGTGAGAATCCACACAAACACCTCAAGGAGTTCCACATTGTTTGTTCAACCATGAGGCCACAAGGTGTGCCTGAGAAGCATGTCAAATTAAAGGCTTTTCCGTTCTCTCTGATGGATGCAGCCAAGGATTGGCTTTACTATCTCTCTCCAGGATCCATTGCTAGTTGGGACAACTTGAAAAGACTTTTCCTGGAGAAATTTTTTCCAGCATCAAGAGCTGCGTCCATAAGAAAGGAAATATGTGGGATAAGGCAGCTTGAAAGAGAAACCCTTTATGAATATTGGGAAAGATTCAAGAGACTATGTGCTAGCTGCCCCCATCACCAAATTAGTGATCAATTGTTGATACCATACTTTTATGAGGGACTGCACCCTATGGACCGAAGCATGATAGATGCCGCAAGTAAAGGGGTGTTGGTTGACAAAACTCCGGTTGCAGCCTGTAACTTGATTGAGAACATGGCTGCCAACTATCAACAATTTGCAACAAGGAAAAATTCTTGTGTTACCAAAAATGTGAGTGAAGTACAAGTTACTGAATCTAGTAAGCTCGAACACAAACTTGATGAATTAGCATCCATGGTAAAGCAATTGGCTTCCATGCAAAAGAGTGCTGCTGCATCTTCACCTCCTCCACCATCCATCCCAGCCATGTTGTGTGGTGTTTGCTCAGCTACAGATCACTACACTGATAGCTGCCCCACACTACAAGAGTCTGACACTCTAGAAGGTAATCCTCAGGCTTATGCTGCAAATATTTACACTAATAAATTTCTTTTTCCAAATTCACAGCAACAACCCAATTGGGATCTATCTTCCAATAGATACAACCCAGGCTGGAGGAACCATCCAAATCTAAGATGAGGAAGCAATTCTCAACAACACAATCAGCAGCAAGGCACTCAATATCAAGCACATCATGCTGGCCCAAATAGATCCCATCAATCCCAACATCAACCATAACAAGCCCAGCACCATCATCAACCATCTTCTTCACAACCAAATGCATCCCAGAAAAATGAACCATCATTGGAGGAGCTCATGAAGCAATTGACCATGAACAACATCACTTTCCAGCAGAGAACCGAGGCTAGTATCAAAACTTTGGAGAATCAAATGGGACAGTTAGCCTCCTTTCTAAACCAGATGCAATCTCAAGGCTCAGGGAACCTCCCTGCACAAACTGTTGTGAATCCCAAAAATGTGAGTGCAATCACCCTGAGGTCTGGAAAAGTGATGCAAGAGCCCACAATGCCCAAAGAGAAGGAAGACTCAAGCTGTACTCCAACTACAGTTGGTCAAAATAGAGAGGAAATGACTCAAGAACAACCAGAACCTACTCCTACCCAACCAAAGGTAGCAGAAAATGTTGAAAGGCCAATTCCTCTACCATTCCCTCAGAGAGTTATTCAGCCAAGTAAAAAGATTGAAGAGGCTGAGAAAGAGATTTTTGAAACCTTCAGGAAGGTAGAGGTGAACATACCTCTACTAGATACAATCAAGCAAATACCCAAGTACGCCAAGTTCTTGAAAGACTTATGCACCCATAGGAGGCGTCTTAATGGTAATGAGAAGGTAAATATGGGTAGGAATGTTTCTGCACTCTTTGAAAAACAAAGATGCACAATGCTTGAGAAATGTAAGGACCCAGGAACATTCACTATCCCATGCATCATTGGTAATAATAAAATTGAGAATGCCGCTAGATTTAGGAGCATCTATAAATGTCATGCCTTTGTCCATTTTTACTTCACTGTCTCTTGGCCCTCTACAGCCTACAAGTGTGGTTATTCAGTTAGCTAACATAAGCATAACAAACCCAGCTGGGATTGTTGAAGATGTACTAGTCAGGGTGAATCATCTCATCTTCCCAGCCGACTTTTACATTTTGGACATGCAAGAGGGAGAGTCAATGAAGAGTGATGCACCAATCATATTGGGAAGACCATTCTTAAAGACCGCAAGAACGAAAATTGATGTACATGCCGGGACGCTTACCATGGAGTTTGGGGATAGCATTATGCGCTTCAACATACTTGATGCTATGAAGCATCCATCTGAAGAACATTCTGTCTTCCAAATTGATTTATTTGATGATTTGATAGATGAACAATTTTCAGAATTTTTAGAAACAGATTTTTCTTTTGATTTTACAAAATGTATTGATACTTCCATTTGTGAATATTGTAATAATTCTTCTATGTGTGACTCTTGTATTTCTGACTTTTTGAATGGGAATTCTGCAAATTCTAATATTGAAGAGATTGACAAATTAATAGGGGAAGAATGTGATGTTTTGAATTCAGCAAGTATAAGTGAATCTAACCCTTTTGATTTGAATGTTGCAGAGATTTCTTCTATTGAGAGTGCTAAACCACTTCCTTCTGTGGAGCAACCTCCAGCACTGGAGCTTAAACCTTTACCAAAACATCTGAAATATGCCTATCTAGAGGCAGATGAGAAGCTTCCAGTGATAATCTCCACCAAGCTGAATGTAGAACAAGAGGAGAAACTCCTAGAAGTGATTAGGAGGCACAAGAAAGCTATAGGCTGGACCCTTGCTGATATTCCTGGAATCAGCCCCTCTCTTTGTATGCATAGAATATTATTGGAGGAGGGTGCTAAGCCAGTAAGGCAGCCTCAGAGGAGGGTAAATCCCATTATTCTAGACGTGGTGAAGAAGGAGGTCACCAAGTTGCTGCAAGCTGGGATTATCTACCCTATATTAGACAGCACTTGGGTCAGCCTGGTCCAAGTGGTTCCAAAGAAATCTGGACTCACTGTGGTGAAGAATGAAAAAGATGAGTTGATACCCACCAGAGTCCAGAATAGTTGGAGAGTCTGCATAAACTACATAAGGCTTAACCAAGCAACCCAGAAGGATCACTTCCCATTGCCTTTCATTGATCAGATGTTGGAAAGGTTGGCTGGTAAGTCTCATTATTGTTTTCTTGATGGTTTTTCCAGTTATTTTCAAATTTGCATAGCACCTGAAGACTAGGAAGAAACCACTTTTACATGTCCTTTTGGCACTTTTGCCTATAAGAGAATGCCCTTTGGCTTGTGCAATGCTCCAGGGACATTTCAAAGATGCATACTTAGTATTTTTTTTTATTTAGTGGAGCATTGCATAGAAATCTTCATGGACGATTTCACTGTGTATGGCCCATCTTTTTCTGCATGTTTGAATAATTTGGAAAAAGTATTGAAAAAATGCATTGATACTAACCTTGTGCGTAATTTTGAAAAATGTCATTTCATGGTAAAGCAAGGTGTAGTATTAGGCCATATCATTTCTGAAAAGGGAATTGAAGTAGATCCTGCAAAACTTGATGTTATTGCACAACTGCCTTACCCCTCTTGTGTTCGAGAGGTCTGTGGTTTTCTTGGCCATGCAGGGTTCTACAGGAGATTCATTAAGAACTTCTCCAAAATTGCCATTCCCCTGTCTAAGCTTTTGCAAAAGGAGGCTGAGTTCAATTTTGATGAAAAGTGAAAAGAAGCGTTTAATATGCTTAAGGAAGCCCTAACCACCACACCCATCCTCCAACCTCCAGATTGGACCACACCATTTGAATTAATATGTGATGCATCCAATTTTGTAGTGGGGGCTGCATTGACACAGCGGGTTGGTAAGTTTCTTCATATCATTTATTATGCTTCTAGAACTTTGGATTCAGCACAATGTAATTATACCACAACTGAAAAAGAATTGTTGGCCATAGTTTTTGCACTGGACAAATTTAGATCATATCTATTAGGGTCAAAAGTTGTGGTTTTTACTGATCATTCTGCCTTGAAGTATTTGCTGAAAAAGACAGATTCTAAGCCTAGGCTTATAAGGTGGATGCTTTTACTTCAAGAATTTGATTTGGAGATCAAGGATAGAAGTGGAACCCAGAATTTGGTAGCCGACCACCTGAGCAGGATAGAGGGAGTTCTAGACCCTATTCCAATTTTAGATGATTTTCCTGATGAACAACTCTTAGAGTTGTATGTTTCACAGGTACCCTAGTATACTGATATTGTTAACTTTCTTGTTGCAGGAGTTTTTCCAGCAGGTGCACCAAAAGCTAAAAAGGATAGGATAAGGAGTGATGCCAAACATTACGTTTGGGATGACCCTTATTTATGGAAATTCTGCAGTGACCAAGTCATCAGAAGGTACGTGCCTGATGAAGAAATTCCATCCATACTGCAGTTTTGTCATGCCTCAGCTGTAGGAGGTCATCAAGGACCTCAAAGGACAGCAAGAAAGGTACTAGATGCAAGGCTATATTGGCCATCTATTTTTAAGGACTCATGACAAGCATATTCTACCTGTGAGAGATGCCAAAGAGTGGGAGGAGTAATTATATGGAGACAGGAGATGCCCCAACAGCCCATCCTCTATTGTGACATCTTTGATGTCTGGGATATTGATTTTATGGGGCCATTCCCCTCCTCTTTTGATTTTCTTTATATACTTCTTGCTGTTGATTATGTCTCAAAATGGGTGGAAGCTAAAGCCACCTGAACTAATGATGCTAGAGTTGTTGCAGAGTTTGTTCGTAGCAACTTATTTTGCAGGTTTGAAATCCCTAGAGCCATCATTAGTGATCAAGGAAGTCACTTCTGCAATAGGACTATGGAAGTCTTGTTCAAGAAATATGGAGTTGTACACAAAGTTTCTACTGCCTATCACCCACAGAAAAATGGGCAAGCTGAGCTCTCTAATAGGGAAATCAAGAAAATACTTGAGAGAGTAGTGCAGCCCCATAGAAAAGACTGGAGCCGCAGGCTTGATAATGCCTTGTGGGCACATAGAACAACATTCAAGACACCCTTGGGAATGTCACCATACAGGGTGGTCTATGGAAAAGCCTTCCATCTACCAGTTGAGGTGGAACACAAAGCTTATTGGGCAGTAAAGACTTGCAACATCCATTATGACTCAGCTGGAGAACAAAGGAAATTACAGCTGCAAGAGTTGGAGGAGCTACATCTTGAGGCCTATGAGAACTCTAGAATTTACAAGGAAAAGACCAAACAATACCATGACAAGAAGATTTCAATCAAAGAGTTCTATGTTGGTCAAAAGGTTCTCTTGTTTAATTCTCATCTTAAACTCATGCCTGGAAAGCTCAAATCAAGGTGGCTTGGACCTTTCACTGTTACAAAGGTATTTTCCCATGGTGCAGTGGAGATCATAAGTGACTACACTAGCAAAAGCTTTATGGTGAATGGGCATCGCTTGAAGCCATTCTTGCAAAACTTAGCTACCTTAGAAGAAGTTGAAGAGATTGACTTGAAATCACCATGTACCAACCTCCATTCCAACCCTTGGCCTTCATAACTCATTTCATACGTCAAGCTAGTGACGTTAAAGAAGCGCTGTGTGAGAGACAACTCACAAGTTGATTAAGAATTTTTTGTTTTTATTTTTATTTTTATTTTTATTTTTATTTTTTATGGTTCTTTTCATTCAATGAGCATTTTTATGATTAATTGAGCTGTGAATTGAGATGAATTAAACATGGGTCTATTACATATTCTTCATTCTTTTTACATTGGACAGTTTTAAATTTTAAAATTGCATCATGCAAAGACCATAGGAAGTCCCTATGCACCAAGACCTATCCAAGGTGTCCACTTCCATTTCATAGTAGTCACTTTCATGCTATGGTAAGTGAATTCACTCTCTGTAGTTTTCACTTTTAGCCTATAGTGATCACTTTGAAAAGGTTTATGGGTTATGAATCTGTGCATAATCACTCCCAGTTCATAGTGAACATGCGCAGATGACTGGAATATAGAAGGCTCTCAGTAGTTATCACTTTGGTTCCATAGTGATAACTACAGAGGCACCTCCTGGACTAACTTTGATGCGCGTAGTTACTCCTATCTCATAGTAATTACGCATAAACCACTTCACAAAATGCCTTCTCTGTAGTTATCACTTTCACACCATAGTGATTACGCGCGCCACTTCACTTTCCAAATACAAATGCTCGTGTTTACTATGGTTTGAAAGTGATAACGCCCAAAACCTATATATATTGAAAGTGTTCACTCTCTCACCCACTCTCACTAAACCTCTAAGCACTCTCACCCCCGCTTCCAATCCTTCTGCAAATTCCCTTCCCCTTTGCATTGGTTTGTGCTAAAACTCATCCATTCCTATAATTTTGTACCTCTCTTAGGCTCCTATCCAGGTAATTCTTCAAATTTCCCTTCTCTTTACATTAGGGTTCTTCATTCAATAATTTGGGGTTTTTAAATTCTGGACGTATGAACTGAAAATTGCTTAGGGAAAATGGTAACTTGCGCATATTTGCATGATTCCAGGGGAGGGGGGAATGTTGATTTAGTTTCATTCACCACATTTTGTGCGATATCCCCTAGCGTAACCACTGTCATTTTGGAATTTGGGATTTTATGTTGTTCAATTTCTGTGTAAATTTTGTTTGTTGAAGTACGTCTTGCATGATTAAAAGGAACTGGAGGCATTCTAGTGGGACAATTTGTGTATTTTCCTATTAATCGATCCTTAGAGTGTTCACTCTTGGTTGAAAATTTTAATTTGAAGCTTCCTTAATGCAATTACTAGATCCAAACTACCATGTGGAATGTGAATGTCTAAATAAGCACACTTGCAAGTGTTTATTCTACTAATCCTGCTGCATTCAGCCATTATCAACCCTAGGGTAGTCACTCCATTCGAAATTATAAATAATTGTGTATTCTGATGTAGTGGCAACATTCTAGGCCTGTAATCCACTGATTCTAGCTATGCTAACATGCACAAGGTCTAAAGTGTTATCTCAGTTTCATTCAATGCTTTTTGGATAATTGCTGTCAGTGAGGAATTCTGTTTTGAGCCTTTGCACTAAAACTGTTTTGAACAATTCTGTTATTTGAAGTCTGACTTGTTGATTGGCAGGAATTAAGATTGTGGATTTGCTTGACAATTCATTCTTCTGTGCATGCCTTGCATTGATAATTCATTCTTCTATGCTACAATTCTTACATTTATAAATTTTCAGAGCGTAGCAATTGATGCTCCATGCATACTTATACTTCAAAATTTTCAATTTCTCTGTTTTAATTCTCCCTATGATTTTTGGATGTGTTGCTTTACTGCATATTGGTATATTCAGAATGCCATTTTCACTTCCCTGCACACATATGCATTTCCATCTCAATTCTGCATTCTAGAATTTGAGACCACCCTGCCTGTGCTTGAACCTTTCGCTCATAACAATTATGTTGAAAATTCTTATATACACTTGTTTGATCAAAAGGGATTGAGAGTTGTTACTTTGGTTATATGTGTTCTGTACCATTGCTGCATCATAGGGTGCCTACTTTCATTTCTAGTGGTGACTATCTTGCATGTTTAATACAATAGGGACTGATTTAATTTTCTGCCTGCATAATATTCACTAGTTCACTACAATTCACTGCCATTGGCTGCAGCCATTAGTGTACAAGCATGAAATGCACTTCATTCACTCTGTATTACCTTTACATACTTAGCATATGCATCTCTGCCACATCCTCTCATTCTCTGCATTGTTGTGCTATTATGTTGATGTATGTCTGGCCCTGGCTGCACCCTATTTAGCTTACTTCATCTCTGATACACTTTGAACACACACACCTCTGTTGATCTTTGCTGCTCCAAATTAATCGCTTTCATTTTGTTGTGTATACTACTTTAATGGAAAGTGGCTAATTAGATCACCTCATGCACATTTCTTTATTCATATTGAGCTGCATAATCCCACTGTTCCACTGCATACATGCATAAACCCCTATTCATCATTCTATACAAATTGAAAATGACCATTCTTGTAAATTGTTTGCATAGAAATTGTTCTTTAGTGGCCTGCTACTACCTGTGTGATTTCTGTGCATTTATTTTCATTCTGCTGCATCACTTGTCCATCTCCAATTTGATTGCCTTGCTGTTGTCTTGCCTGAACCATAATGTGATCATTTTAGCATTGTAA